GAGGGCGACCTCATATTCGCTACGAAAGTGAGATGGGGGCGATGGACATCGACATCGAGAGGTGAAGAGGAGTCGCCAACAATCGCTTACGCTGGAGACACGATTTACACCCAGGACTGGAGCGAAGCTTACCGCTGGGATGAACCGTGCTCGAAGGAAAGAAAACAACACAGTGACATCAAGAGAGTGTGTCTTCATATACATTGGTTGCAATCGAGTCTTTCACTCCGGTATGGGCCTGTTCAGCCATAACAGATGCTGCGCCACCATTAGCAGCTGAAGCATAACTTTTTGGGGCGCTTCCATGGTCTCTCGAGCCCGACAGATGCCACACACACACACAGACATATATATATATATATATATACACACACATATATATATATATATATACATCGCCCACATGTCACTTTCGCAGCGAAAATTCTATGAAAATTTCTCAGACATTTCATAATATATATATATATATTATATATATATATATATATATATATATATATATATATATATATATATATATATATATATATATATATATATATATAAATGTCCGAGAAATTTTCATAGAATTTTCAGGCTATATGACGGTTCCGTATAGGATACAGGCTCGAATCCTGTCGAAGGACGCATATTTTCTATGAAAATGTCTCGGACATTCAGGCCGGTAAATGTTGTTAATACTGTTTATTATAAACAGAGCATTTACTTAACTATTTGTATCTATAAAAAGGAGGTATAAACATAAAAACATCTTAATATATATATATGCCAAATCAATGAAAGCTTAGTAAAAAATTAAATGTTTGACAATGATGTAATTTACTTAAGCGATAGCAAAAGAAATTTTAATTTTCTAATGAATAATAGGGGTGGATGGGGGTGTATCGTTAGTGGTAGTAAATTTGCAGCGAAGAGTTCGAGCCTGCTTTACTCAGATGAATTGAGATGTGGAACTGTACTGGTCCCCGGCCGACATCTAACTTTCACATATAGCTTCAAAAAATCGCATGAGCACTGCGACGACCAAATCCCGGTCAACTGCATCGACCTGCCGGCTAAACTGTGTGTGGGTAATCAGAAGTGTTTCCCGAGCCGAGCCGAGCCGAGCCGAGCCGAGCCGAGCCGAGCCGAGCCGACTCGACAGCTGAAGGGGAATGCCTCCTCTCCCTAATTCACCTATGCCACATGTAGGAGCTGCACTTCAGAGGTCAACGGCTTTTGCAATGGGCAGAGGAACTTCTGAAAGGAGGGACGGGGTAATCTCAACATCTCAGGTGCAACAGGAACTGACAAGCCATTGTACTATTTTGCCTTGAATGTCACCATGAACAACAATTATGGAGGGGAGTGCTGACCCCAGATGAATGAATCTTATTGTCTAACATCGACACATTTGTCGTATGTGATGACACGGGCTGGTCTGTCAAAGCGAAAAGCGAAACAGTTTTTGAACGACATTGAATAAAATAGACAATATTTCAATATAGTTAAGTGACTTTTTACTGGTTCAGAAAAAAAAAAAAAAAGGTCCCCGCTATTACGTCATCACTTATGGACGCTGATTTGAAACGTTCTTAAATGGACATTCACAAGCAAAATCCATTGTACATAACTGCATTTGAATTTCATTTTTATTTTAACATGTCCCGTCCTGGGTATGACGATAAACTACTTCCGCATCCAGGGTAAGACGATAAACTACGTCCAACAGCAAGGCCCCTGATCAGGAGATTTTGAGGAGCGTGGAACCAACTCTTAATTGCTGGTGTTCCTAGGTTCACCCTGACCCGGAGTGGTAGCACCTGTTAGGGTCTCAGCTATGGGCAAATAGTTAACCCCGAAAATGAGGTAAAAAATAGGTTTTCATACCAGAAATACTTTTCAAAAAATTATCACCAGCGATAAATTTTTGAAAAAAAAATATTACCAGCAATACATTTTTTTAAAATAATATTACCAGCTATACATTTTTGGAGAAAAAAATATTACCAGAAATAGATTTTTAACAAAACTAAATACTACCAGGAAAAAAAAGTTGTCGGCATTCACCCATTGAGATTGATATACCGCTAAACAAAACAAAACAAACCATTTTAAATGGCTAAATATTGTTGTTGGTAAATGTAATATATAACGGCGGCCTTGTCATTATTAAGAGAAAAGGAGATGTGACAAAAAATAAATACAGATAAGACTTGGTTGAGATAAGTAAAAAAAATCATTCCCTCGTGATCTACAAGCTTCGATCGTTTGCTCGTTCCGGGATATCGTTGGAGACTGAGAGTTTGTTCGAAGTATAACAGAAGGTAGCAGTCGAAATACGTACAGAAAATCAACACACACATAGAGTCGAGTAATATAGACTCGTGGGAGAAAACATTACACGAATTATCGCATTGTAGTAGTCGAGAGTTTCTGTTGTTGCTGCTGCTGATTTCGTCGCTTGCCGAAGGCATTGCTGGTGATAACCTGGGCAGTTGTGTAGCCTGTCGCGTTTGGTTAATGCCAACTGAATCGGATTTGCATCCGTGGATGAAATCGATACTGGCTTTATAGTCAGTGGCTCAGAAGTGGTTGCTGCGAAAACCGAGTGGTAGGAAAATATGTTTTATGACCCTGCTATTTTTGGACAGTGTTCCGGAAGTGGATGCGCGGATCCAGACGAAATTCAGGTCTGTTTTTGTCAGATTAGCCGTGGATGTCGAAGTGAGCACTTCCGTTTGAATTAAATAATTGGAGTTCCGACAGGGTACGACAAATATATCCATTATACGGCGTTAAATTAATACGCCAATAGAAACAAAGAATATACGCTGCAAGCCGTTCGGCCATATTAACATAACTTTATTTGTATTTTCTCTTTTTTATTGTTAAAGACACATCCATATATATTCTCATTCTATTATTTTTCTTATTTTTAGTATGAGTTTTCTTTCTTGTACATTAACTAACTCTTGTTTCTTATGTTATTTCATTTGTTGATTACTAAACTTAGTTCAGTACATTGCTTTTTGAAATTGATAGTTTTCCGTCACTCAAGCTTAGAAAGCCTATTCTACCCTGTTATTTAACCCGTAGCTGGGGCAGAGAGAAAAGATGGATTCATACCTGATTGAAGAGCTTTAATGCGAAAGCGAACACAGTAGACTTGCCCCGGAATTTGAACCCGTTTCGCTGATTACAAACCTCGTGCCGATAATGATTACGTTTCCTGTACGTCCTTTTTTTTAGTACAGTACACAGTCAAATAGAGTGAAAGCGTAGGTAGGAAGAGTCTGTTGCGTCAATCTTCCAAATAGGAAAGGTGTGACTGTTTTAAAAATCAAAATCCTTGCTTTTACCAAATTTGGGACAGTAAACAGACGTCTGTGGAAAATACTGAACAATCAATCACAACGCAAAAACAATGGCCGTCCATTCTGTCCGTTTCCAATCGTCTTTCTTTGATGTCCTCTTGCTATTCTATCGCTATTTTTTTATGACGAATGTTCAGACGAGTTATATTCCTTTGTCCAGGCCTTCAAGGCTGAGAACCACCTTGCCACATGCACAGGGATGACCCATCCACATTCGCTTCGTATGCTATTAGTAAGAAAAAAAGTTTCACTCAGACGTCCTCTTTCTATGAACTGTTACTTTGTGAAACAGACTCCCCAGATGCTAATGATCTCAACTTCTTCAAGTCTAGGGTCAACCGTTATCTATCCTACATATCCTCACAATATGCACTACTTACTTCTTCCCTTTGCACCCATGCAACAACCTCATTCATTTGCGCCTTTATTTCAATTGGGCCTTTATATAACAACGTACAAGATTCGCCAGCGGGGTGTAGTAAGTAATCCACTGCTAGTGGTGAATCAGCCCAGACAGTATATTCCACTGTATTTATGAGGATCGGGACATATCCATTAAAGTCCATAGGTACGGTATATAACAACTTCATTTAGGTCTTTATTTCATTTAGGCCTTTATTTCATTTGTGACTTTATTTCATTTGGGCCTTTATACGCCTTTACATAAACCTCATTCATTTGGGCCTTTATTTCATTTGGGCCATTATTCAATTTGAGGCTTTATACACAACCTCATTCATTTAGGCCTTTAAACACCTTTACAGCAACCTTATTCATTTAGGCCTTTATTTTATTTCGGCCTTTATTTCATTTCAGACTTTATACGCTTTTACATCAACCTCTTTCATTTGGGCCTTTATTTCATTTGGACCTTTATTCAATTTGGGCCTTTATACGCCTTTACAACAACCTCTATTTCATTCGGGCCTTTATTTCATTTAGGCCGTTAAACACCTTTACAGCAACCTCATTCATTTGGGCTTTTATTTCATTTGGGCCTTTAAACACCTTTACAACCTAATTCATTTAGGCCTTTATTTCATTTGGGCCTTTAGTTCATTTTGGGCCTTTACAACAACCTCATTCATTTGGGCCTTGTATTGCGTCAATAAAAGTATAAAAAGGACTATTTTTTATTTATTCCCATCTATTGTAGTTAACGGAGAACCATAATATTTCTCCTCCATTCGAAAACGAATTAAGGAAGGAGGGTACCTATCTGTATAATAAACATACCTGTAAAATAGACCAGCATCAAATATAGCTACTTATCTACTATTGTCACTGTGACGGTTATTGTCCACTCAACTGCTTCACCGAAAATAATAATAGAAATATTCAGGGGATTAGTCGACCTGTTGTTGCAAATTTCATAAACACTCTTATTTACATGAGCAGAAAATATTTTTCTAAAAACGCTAGCTATGAAAATTGGTTCATTATGTTAATGTACTTTCCTCTTTGGTACCTAAACTTTATAAAGATAAGAGCAGTACTAGATTGGCGGTAAGGTCTCAGAATTTTACAGCTGAAATGTACTGAGGGCATATACTTATATGAAAAAAAATGACAAGAGACTTCATGATACCCTTTCCCTGATTGCTAAAATTTCTCATTATGATTTGATTATTCATAATAACCGGCTTACGGCCATATCACGTTGAAATACCAGTTCCTGTGCGAAAACCGAAGTTAAGCAGCGTCGAACCTGGTCAGTACCTAGATGAGTGACCTCTTGGGAATAACAGATGTATGTTCAGGTGGTTTAATGGATAATGGCTCGGAATTGTTAATCGGAGAGCCGAGTTCCAATTACCATTGGGTTCGTGATATTAACTTACGCGCAAATACCCTTGGGATGATTATGAATACTCCGAGTCTGCCATGTTTGTGGTGGGCATTTCAGGAGACACACGTGTTTATCTCAGAAAGCGTATACCGGCCCGCAACAAGCCATCGACAGACAAGCATAAAATAACAATAACATATAAATAACAGGAAAGTAAGCATGATGATCGGAAAGGTATATAAAATCTAAAAAGGGAGCAGTCATAATAGATAGGATATCACAAAGTGTTGAAACTTGACTAATGCATGGAATAATAATGCAACACAAAATGTACTTAGAACAAAATGTATTGAAACAAGAAAGTGTACACAATATTTACATATAGTCTTTTGTATATTCCTGGTAAGACCGTTCCTGGAGAATGTGTTGACTGAGTCGCAGTCGGGCAGAGTCTCTGGTTGAATCTCTTGATTCCTCCCTCTCTTCCCGGTACCAATATGGTCGGTACTCCACTATGCAAATTAGGTGGATCCTACCACAACACAAAGATAGAATGAATACATCTAAGAACTCTTCCACGACAACAGAAGAGAGAAAACTTCAATACACTATAACATGGAAGGATCTATAATATTAAAATATAAGTTAATATCGGCACTGGCCAATGTGAACGGAAACAAAGCAGCAGGTTCAGATCTAATAGAGATTCTTTCAGCTTTAGACAATTTGGGGATAAAAATATATGACAGCGGTGAAATATCGGAAGACCTCAGTAAATCTATCGTCACGGCAATACCCGAGAAGACAGGTACAAATGAATGTGAACACCTTCGACAGTCATCTTAATGAGTTACATAATTAAACTTATTGGGATTCTAATGAATAGAGATCGTAGCAGAATTAGATCGGAAATACAAAAAGAATAGTGAGACACTATGACAGAAATGGTATTATCATTATATCTTAATCCTATCAAAGGGAACAATACACATCTAGAAAAAACTGTATCTCTATTTTATATATTACTAGCAGTATAACCTGTCTTTACCATTCAATTGGAGCAGTTTAAGTTTAAAGTCAGCCCATCCGAAAATTAATATTAGTAACAATAATTGGGTGCAACTGAAGAAATAGAAATATGACACCAAAATCCGAGGAGTAATAGGAATAAGGAAAAATGTCTTCCACAAACTAAGCAAAGTATTAAGAGATCAAGGGAAAATTTAATTATCTGGATAGTGTAGTAACAGACGACAGAAAATATGACACCAAAATCCGAGGGAGAATAGGAATAAGGAAAAATGTCTTCCACAAACTAAGCAAAGTATCAAGAGATCAAGGGAAAATTTAATTATCTGGGTAGTGTAGTAACAGAGGACAGAAAATATGACACCAAAATCCGAGGGGGAATAGGAATAAGGAAAAATGTCTTCCACAAACTAAGCAAAGTATTAAGAGATCAAGGGAAAATTTAATTATCTGGATAGTGTAGTAACAGACGACAGAAAATATGACACCAAAATCCGAGGGGGAATAGGAATAAGGAAAAATGTCTTCCACAAACTAAGCAAAGTATTAAGGGATCAAGGGAAAATTTAATTATCTGGGTAGTGTAGTAACAGAGGACAGAAAATATGACACCAAAATCCGAGGTGGAATAGGAATAAGGAAAAATGTCTTCCACAAACTAAGCAAAGTATTAAGAGATCAAGGGAAAATTTAATTATCTGGGCAGTGTAGTAACAGAGGACAGAAAATATGACACCAAAATCCGAGGGGGAATAGGAATAACGAAAAATGTCTTCCACAAACTAAGCAAAGTATTAAGAGATCAAGGGAAAATTTAATTATCTGGGTAGTGTAGTAACAGACGACAGAAAATATGACACCAAAATCCGAGGGAGAATAGGAATAAGGAAAAATGTCTTCCACAAACTAAGCAAAGTATTAAGAGATCAAGGGAAAATTTAATTATCTGGGTAGTGTAGTAACAGAGGACAGAAAATATGACACCAAAATCCGAGGAGTAATAGGAATAAGGAAAAATGTCTTCCACAAACTAAGCAAAGTATTAAGAGATCAAGGGAAAATTTAATTATCTGGATAGTGTAGTAACAGACGACAGAAAATATGACACCAAAATTCGAGGGGGAATAGGAATAACGAAAAATGTCTTCCACAAATTAAGCAAAGTATTAAGAGATCAAGGGAAAATTTAATTATCTGGGTAGTGTAGTAACAGACGACAGAAAATATGACACCAAAATCCGAGGAGGAATAGGAATAAGGAAAAATGTCTTCCACAAACTAAGCAAAGTATTAAGAGATCAAGGGAAAATTTAATTATCTGGGTAGTGTAGTAACAGACGACAGAAAATATGACACCAAAATCCGAGGGGGAATAGGAATAACGAAAAATGTCTTCCACAAACTAAGCAAAGTATTAAGAGATCAAGGGAAAATTTAATTATCTGGGTAGTGTAGTAACAGACGACAGAAAATATGACACCAAAATCCGAGGAGGAATAGGAATAAGGAAAAATGTCTTCCACAAACTAAGCAAAAGTATTAAGAGATCAAGGGAAAATTTAATTATCTGGGTAGTGTAGTAACAGACGACAGAAAATATGACACCAAAATTCGAGGTGGAATAGTAATAACGAAAAATGTCTTCCACAAACTAAGCCAAGTATTAAGAGATCAAGGGAAAATTTAATTATCTGGGTAGTGTAGTAACAGACGACAGAAAAAATTACACCAAAATCCGAGGGGGAATAGGAATAACGAAAAATGTCTTCCACAAACTAAGCAAAGTATTAAGAGATCAAGGGAAAATTTAATTATCTGGATAGTGTAGTAATAGACGACAGAAAATATGACACCATAATTCGAGGGGTAATAGGAATAACGAAAAATGTCTTCCACAAACTAAGCAAAGTATTAAGAGATCAAGGGAAAATTTAATTATCTGGGTAGTGTAGTAACAGACGACAGAAAATATGACACCAAAATTCGAGGTGGAATAGTAATAACGAAAAATGTCTTCCACAAACTAAGCCAAGTATTAAGAGATCAAGGGAAAATTTAATTATCTGGGTAGTGTAGTAACAGACGACAGAAAATATGACACCAAAATCCGAGGGGGAATAGGAATAAGGAAAAATGTCTTCCACAAACTAAGCAAAGTATTAAGAGATCAAGGGAAAATTTAATTATCTGGATAGTGTAGTAATAGACGACAGAAAATATGACACCATAATTCGAGGGGTAATAGGAATAACGAAAAAATGTCTTCCACAAACTAAGCAAAGTATTAAGAGATCAAGGAAAATTTAATTATCTGGGTAGTGTAGTAACAGACGACAGAAAATATGACGCCAAAATCCGAGGGGAATAGGAATAAGGAAAAATGTCTTCCACAAACTAAGCAAAGTATTAAGAGATCAAGGGAAAATTTAATTATCTGGATAGTGTAGTAACAGACGACAGAAAATATGACACCAAAAATCCCAGGGGAATAGGAATAAGGAAAAATGTCTTCCACAAACTAAGCAAAAGTATTAAGAGATCAAGGGAAAATTTAATTATCTGGGTAGTGTAGTAACAGACGACAGAAAATATGACACCAAAATTCGAGGGGGAATAGGAATAAGGAAAATGTCTTCCACAAACTAAGCAAAGTATTAAGAGATCAAGGAAAATTTAATTATCTGGGTAGTGTAGTAACAGACGACAGAAAATATGACACCAAAATCCGAGGGGGAATAGGAATAAGGAAAAATGTCTTCCACAAACTAAGCAAAGTATTAAGAGATCAAAGGAAAATTTAATTATTTGGGTAGTGTAGTAACAGACGACAGAAAATATGACACCAAAATTCGAGGGGGAATAGGAATAACGAAAAATGTCTTCCACAAACTAAGCAAAGTATTAAGAGATCAAGGGAAAATTTAATTATCTGGGTAGTGTAGTAACAGACGACAGAAAATATGACACCAAAATCCGAGGGGGAATAGGAATAAGGAAAAATGTCTTCCGAAAACGAAGCAAAGTATTAAGAGATCAAGGGAAAATTTATTTATCTGGGTAGTGTAGTAACAGACGACAGAAAATATGGCACCAAAATCCGAGGAGGAATAGGAATAAGGAAAAATGTCTTCCACAAACTAAGCAAAGTATTAAGAGATCAAGGGAAAATTTAATTATCTGCGTAGTGTAGTAACAGACGACAGAAAATATGACACCAAAATCCGAGGGGCAATAGGAATAAGGAAAAATGTCTCCCACAAACTAAACAAAGTATTAAGAGATCAAGGGAAAATTTAATTATCTGGATAGTGTAGTAACTGTGGCACCATGCATAAGTTGGCAGGCTGAAAGGAAATATTCATAAATATATGATTTGTTTTTTACGGTTTGTCAACCATTTGATAATTATTTAGAGCTGAAAAATATTTGAGTTTTGAGAATAATTCTTTAATTGCGTTCAAGCGATCTGGGAGAAAGAAAGAGAAGAAGAAGAAAAAGAAAGAAAAAAAAATATAATACGAAAATCAGGTCATAAGCGAACAAACACACGCTCGATTGATACGTAACAGATGTTGGAAGATATCCCGGTCAAGCACCTGACCTACTTCCGTGTCCACGTAAAATGGAAGTTTTTATCAATTTGGTTGAAGAAATAAAGTTTAGAGACAATGGAAAAAAATATGATAGGTAACAGGTCGAAGTTTATCTAAGGATATGCAGGCAAACCATTAATACGAAAACCCAGACCATTCCAGAATTGAAAATAAAGCCACACAAGATGATGTTGGCTGAGAATGTTTTTTTGAGATAATAAAAATTTTATTATCAGGCCTTTGGCCGCGAAAGAAAAAGTGAAGTATTTTTATTAGTTCATGAAAACGCCACCCAGTCTGAGAAATCCCTTTCTTAGATCGTATCCAATTAGCGATAAA